ACAAATTAGAAGAGGACTAAGGAATGACCCTACTCAATTTTTTCAAAGAAAATAGCTTATTCCATAAAGTTAAAAGCAATAGGACAACACAAAAAAACAAACGATGATTAACACTTTCACCATCACCGCAACACATAACGCACCAATGCAGAAAAAGAAAAGTATGGGGTCTTCTCCTTTGAATCATATTGTAAGTGCTAATTTTACCATGACCAATAATAGTTCATGCATAAATCTTCACCTTCCAGGGCACTTTAGCCTTCCATATCATCAATCAAGGGAGAAAAACTAAAAAAGAAGGATCATCACCAATCAAAGAATGATTTTCACGAGAAAACCCCCGAAGACTCGAGCACACATCTTTTTTTATCAAGAGACTCAAAATTTATATGACATCATTAAGGAAGGAAAGAAGTGATACCAAGTCAATAGTGATGTAGACTGTATTAGTTCAGATACCAATTGATGTAAATCGCAATAGGTTAAGAAGGGAAAGAATTAAGTGATGATAAATAAAAGGAGAAGACATCGAGAATAACAAAGTAATTCTCATTAAGTTTCAACAAAAAGTATTCAATGGGACAAGACATCGATGACAAAAGAATAATAATAACGCCTAGGTGCTGAAAATAATTAAGTACCAATTCAAGTGAAATCTTGATAGGAGGAACAAAAGTCAACTATCTCAGAAGAAAAAAACTTAAGAATAAAGTTAGATTGATTTGAAGTAGGAGATACAAAACAATCATCAAAAAATTTTGAAATAGGTAACGCAATATGCTCGACGGCATATATAGGTGTGGACTCAATAGCAGGGGCGGAGCCAGAAATTGTCCAGGGTGGTCACTTTACTGAAAAAATTTAATTTTTTTTCTTCTAATTAATAAAAATAAAATAATATATTCAAATTTACTATATTGTATTCGATACTTAAAAATTCATAAAATATGAAAAGGGTGAAACTTTGATAAAAATAGTATACATAAATAAAAACAAACAAAAAAGAGCGACTAATTATACCCCTTCATAACAAGTGAAGCAAACTGCATAAAAGATACTATAATATTTTTCCATATATATGATCAAACTATTAGTCATTGATCACTCATTTAATTAAGCAACTTAGTTGCCATAATCTCTCTAGTTTTTTTTTTTTAATTGGAATCTCTAGAGCTTAAAAAAAAATGAGTTTGACATATCAAAAACTTACATAGATGTATCCCTAAAGTGTCCAAAATGTGTCAAAAAATTCATAATTATTTAAGTACGAGGACTATACTAATTGATAGAACAAAAAATGATAGACTGAGCATACTTAAATATACTTCAAATTATTTGAAATATACATAAGTAATATTTAAAAAAAAAATTGAGGGTGGGCACGTGCCCCCCTGGTCCTCAAGTAGCTCCGCCCTTGCTCAATAGACTTTTCAGCAAGTTCCATTACAAGTGGTGACTCAACATTTAACTCCGGTAAAGGCTCAAATTGCATTAAAGTCAACCTAACCCCATTAAAATTGATAGCTTTCTTCTATCCATCTAACCTCTTTCCTACCCTTTCAAACACCAGATCCCAAAAAGCCAAAGATAATGAAGTCCCACCCAATGGAAGCCCAAGATACACAAGAGGCCATTCTCCTACTGAACACCCTAAAGTATTAGCCAGCCTATTAACTTTCTCTACATTGGAATTTAAGCCCACAATTAAACTCTTTTTTCCATATCGACTTTCAATCCTAAAACAAGTTTGAACCCATCTACAATGTTCCTAAAGTTAAGAAACTTTTCCACCTCTCTCAAAAAAAAAGAATATGGTATGATATACAAATTGTAAGTGTGACACCGAATCATCTTTCTTCCAATGACAAATCCTTCCACAAGACCACACATTTCTACTCTCTTAAGTAATCTACTCAAACTATCAACCACCAAAGTGAAAAGAAAAGGCAAAAAGGGGTCACCTTGTCGAAGTCCCTTACAAGCTTTAAACCTTCCTCTTGGTTTACTATTAAGCATGAACAAAAAATTTGTTGATTGCAAACACCCACTAATCTAGAAAATTTCAATCCATGTGGTCGTAAGTCTTCTCAAAATCAATTTTAAACACTAATCTTCCACCCCTCTAGATCTATAATCCTCCACCACCTCATTAGCTATAAGGCAACATGTAAAATTTGTCTTCCTCTAACAAATGCACCCTCATTAATCAAAATGGTCTCATGAGTCTCTCTCAATCTCATAGACAACACTTCTGCAATAATCTTATGAAGGCTTCACACCAAACTAATCAGCCTAAAGCCTTTCCATTTCAAAGATTTTTCTTTTTTTGATATAAGACAAATACATGTAGCATTTGTAACTACATTAACCACACCATTATGAAAAAATTCCACTACACATTCATCAAATCCTCTTTAATGACTTCCTAGCAATCGTGGTAAATGGTCATAGTGAAACAGTTCGTACCAGGACTTATCTTTAGTATACTAAAAAATAGTTTTCCTAACTTCATCCTCTTCAAATGGTCTTTCCAACCAAATTGTTTTCCTACCATCAATGGGACTTTAGTACAATTTGGCAAAGAACTCAATAATCTCATTCTCAATTCTTCTTTTCTCTTTAATAATTTCTCCACTATCTAATTCCAACTTGTCGATAAATTTTATTTTCCTTCTTCTATTGGCTACTTTATGAAAAAAATTTGAACTATTATCACCTTCTTTTATCCATTTCACTCTTGCTTTGTCTCCAACTTATTTCCTCCTTAAAGACCAACTTCTCAAATTTATTTCTTAATTCCTATCTTTCATTCCTCATTCTCATTCAACGTCTCATTATCTTACCTTATCAACTTCCTCAATCCATTTTAAGGTCGAACTCTTAATAACTATAATATCCCCAAAAACTTCTCTATTCCATAGCTTCACCCTATGTTTCACAAAAATCAACCTCCTCCCACTCAACCGAAAAAAGAAACCTACCCAATCCAGTGTATTTAAGGCGTAAACCAAACCGATCACTGAAGGCCTAGGTGAGAATTAACGTGAACAATTTAAAACAAGCAAATATTCCAGCAAAAGCAGAAAAACCATCACAAAAAAAAAAAAAATAGATACTAGCTGCCAGCAGAAATAAAAGTAGCACCACAACAAAAAAAAGACACAGAGTTCAGTAAAAGAAGCAGAGGAAGAGGAGGAGAAGAACAAAAAAATCAGAAGAAGAAAGGGGGAAACAATAGAAGAAGAGGAGAAGAACCGAAAAAATCAGAAGAAGAAAAAGGAGAAGAAGAATCAGAAAATCAGAAGAAGAGAAAATACCTTCGGAGTGTGGAGCGGATACGAGGAACTCCTAGAAAACTTCAGTTGGGGCCTCGTTTATTCCTCGTTGTCTGGCTCTCCTATTACTACCTTTTTTGTAATTCGCTTTGTTTGTACTGTTCTAAGCAACTTGAGCTCGTCTAGACATGTTTTTCAAAACATTGATCCAACCAATTACAAGTTGGGTTTTCTTTAAAACTAGACCAAGTAAAAGAACCATTAGATAAATGGGAGCCTTTTAAATGGGTCCCCCTAATGAAAATATAAAAATCGTTCATATTCCTTGTCATCCTCCCGCCACGCAATTCTTTAGAGAATATCTAAACACTTTAAATTCACCAGCACACACCACCTAGGACTATAGAGACCAAACTACCGCACCAATTCTTCTCATAATAATTCTCACCCGAGGCTGTTTGGTCCATACACATCGGTTTACCACCACTTGACACCATCTCTAACTTTTGACATAATTGACAATTTAAATTCTCCCTCAATTGACTCCTCTACCATCACTGTTCTCTTATCCCACATGACAATAATATCCCCCAATCTCCCAATAAGAGGTAAAAAAACTAAATTAATGAACCGGGAGCCCCACACACTCTTCACTAGCCTTCTTTCCTCACATTCCTTCTTACATTCTTGCCAAAATGGACTCAACTCAACAAAGCCTTAATCGCACCCATTTAGGGTCAGCTACATAAATCATATTTCTCCGTTGCACTTTATCAAAGGTCATATGTTGTGTTAGACCATAAGCTATCATATCTTTTTCTACTATTTCGTTCACAGATATTTTAGGTCTACCTCTACCTATCGCATAACCAACGATATGTATTGAATTACCACATCTAGCCTTTCGTCTAACATTATTTTTCATTGACCCCAATCTCTTAATATTCCAATTTATTATCTGCATTTCAAACAATCTCCACCCTCCTTCCTCCTAGAATCTCCCCCTCATAATTATTCTCGACTGCAAATTCCTAAGTTCCCAACATCTCCCATCCGTCCTAACAAATTTTCCTTTTCCTTTTCCTTTCTTTTGAAATTTTCTTTTTTTTTAGGGACCAAAGAAACATTCATGTCCTCTAAAAATTTAGTAAGAAAATACCCAACTTTCCTCATTAAACAATAAGTACATATCATCAATCTTTGACTAATTACCTTTCCAGATCTCAGGAATTAGAAGGGCCCCAATGTTTCTAGCACAACTAGCATCCTCAGCATCAACAACCAAAGGTTCCCTAGCACCAAGACTTACCTATGGCACTCTGGTTCTCAATACCAAAACCCAAATTATCTAAGCTAATCTTTTGTTCCTCTATTAAGGTAGAAGTCCTCATTCATGAAATAGGAAGAGTGCAGTGCTTTTCATTTGTGCAAGAGTGTGCATTAGACATTAGTACAATAGCAATACATACCTTTGGATGCTCCCCAAGAAAATAACCACCATTGGTTTGCTAAAACAAATCAGCGATTTCATATTTCTATATTTGCCGCAGTTGATTGGTTCTCACCTTACTATCACTGTCCAAGCTATCTTGGGTTCATCACACCTATCAGACGTTTGAGCCAAGTTACAAACATCACCATTGAATGCCTTTTTCTCTAGCTCTTCAAACTCCCTCATGTTGTCACACAGAAGGTCAAAACCATCACCAATCTTTGAATTCATCATTAGCAACGTTGATTTTGCGATTTCAAAAGTTTCAACTCAACTCTGACTGCCATCGTCTCAAATTCCAAACCATGCTCCTCATTCTCTCCCTCAGATCTATTAAGGCAAACCCTACAATGTCGAGAATATAAAATCAGACGCTATTTTGGATATGGATCATATCTCAAACTAGGGGCACTTTTGTACACGAAATTGGATTTAAGTTTAGTCCTAAAGGCCACCCAATTAGCTTCATTGGAGTCCACTTTGCAAGGAGAAACAATGCCCTTAAAAGGCCCATGCCTTTTGCCATAAATAGTACTACTACAATATACATCACTTCACATTGAATTCAAATAGATATAGCAATTAACTTATGTAAGTCAAAGCATGCAACAATATGATGTTTCTACATAGAAGAAAAAACTAAAATGAAGATGGATAACATGAGATTATCCTGAAGAAAACACAGTAAGCCAAGAAGTCAAATTGTGTTATAACATACAAAAATTAGGAGACTAGAGCCAGACCCAAGTATAAATTGATGGAACCAAAGTGGTTTGATATATAACTGTCCTAGGATTATTCCTACAATGTATGGTAGTACATATAAGTCGTTGGCCAGGGGTAGAATAAGCCTAACAATGTTGTGGCTTTGACTATGAGTGCAACGACTTTTAACAAATGAAAATGATACCCCAGACCCTTTTGCTCGGCAATGTATCCCGGGAGGTCTGCAGTAATGCAGAAGGTTACATATGTATTCGGAGATCACACTACGTAAAGACCCAATTTAATTTAAAGTATCAAAAATAGTATTAAATAACAAAACTAGATGAGTCCATAAATACATGCATTTGTTTCTTTAAAGAAAGAAAGGGAGGCTAAGTCAATGAAGACGTACCGACAATCATGGCGTAGGTTACGAACCAAAAGACTCGTTGGAGCATCTCTACTACGACCACCGTAGCGACCCCTAGGGCTAGGGCTTCTTCCTCTTCTGCCGTAACCCCTTGGTGGTGAAAGACTGTAACTCCTGCCCCTCATTCTGCACCAAAAATTACCAGATATTTGTCCAATTCTGAAAGAGAAACCCAAGAAAAATACAATAAAATTGTACAAATTCTACTGTATCTGTGTCAATAAATTCGACTACAGCCACAACAAAAGAACACATAAATTGAGAGAAAGTGGGGGGGGGGGGGGGGGTAGTACTCGAATGTAGCTGTGATACTGAAATTGGGGAGATATTCGACTAGATCGGCGATGACTTCTTCAATCAGTAGTTGTTTTGGTTCGGCTGTGACGGCGGTGTTTCGAACGTTATGGATTGTTAGGGCAGGCCTTATATAGATATAGACGTGCGGGTGTACGTGATATTAGGGCAAACTCAAAACAGCACGCAACGCGAGTGCGTGTGTATCATATACAGTGTGCTGCAATCGGAAAATTGAATGGAGCAATTACACTTTAGCCCCATCAATTATATTTTTATCTCACATTATCTGTCATGGTTTTCCAAGAAATAGCTGTCATTGTATTTCAGATTGCAATCTTAACTGCTTTTGTGGATTTCCTAATGTTATAATTACATATGTTTGTTACAAATTGAATAAAAAATTTTATTACTTTACCTCCACAAGCAATGAAATTTTATTTTACTTTGTTTGAAAATCTAATGACACATAAACAATTTCATGGAAAATATATATAATTTTGATTTTAGGACGGTGTAAAGTCAATTGAAATGATGGAGAAATAATGTGAAAAAACGGTAAGATTCAAAACTATTTTCTAAGGATACAAAATGTGATTTTATCCAACTAGACTCGAAAGAGCAGTTATCTTGACTAAAAAATAGGATACAAATACAGCTTAAATGGCGTGATAACTAACTTCGTTAGTAAATTTTGAATATTAAATACATAAAAATAGATTTAAAAATATTATTATTGAAATGTCACATTATTTAGTCCTTGTTTTTATCCCTTTTTTAGTTGATCTAACTTTTTTGTTCTCGAAAAACAATGTGATCTAAATTTTTGGGATCAAACAAAAGCCAATTAAAGAGGTCATAAGAGCATTAACACAACATCAATTTTTAGTTATTCCTTTTTTTTTTAATTAAAAGTACAATGTCATGTTTATAAAGGAGAATTTGAATAGTAATTTCAGGGTAAATTATATTTTGACCTGAGTCAATTATTGATTTTCTCGCATTACCCTAGTACTCAATGATTTGAATTAATCTCACATTGTCCCAAAATCAAACATCAATTATTTTTTTGAATGCATAATTTATTAATTAATCGAGTTTCAATTTCACTTGATTTTCTCAAATCCTCTATAACTACCATTCTACATTTCGCACACTATATGTAGATTAACCAAGATTTTTAAAATTGAGATTCTACCTTGGATCGATGGGAGAAGTCAAGGACTGGGATTGTAAGAACAAATCGAGAATTATAAGATCCAACGAAATGAACACATGAGAAAAAAAATATAAAAATACATAATTCTTAAAACCAAGAATTAAACATATCTATTACATATGCAAATAGAAAAGTTAGGACAAACATAAAACTTAGAAATATGATTAAAATTTGAGAAGCTACAATCTAAGTATTGACGATGGTTGAAAAATCAAAGTCGAGTTGTTAAACTTGTGGGATTTTACAAAGAGCAATATGAGAATTGAAATATTTTCGGAGATAGACGAATATAGAGAAGAATAGAAAGTGGAAACACTATTAAATGAACAAATTTCATTGTTCAATATCTTAAAAAACTGAAGAGAATGAAAATAGAAGACTATTTAGCTATAATAACTCGTTGAGAGCAAGGTCAGTCCAAGAATAATTGAAGCCCTAGGCAAAATTTTTAGATGGGGGTTCTAAATTATTTTTAAAATGAATATTCTTTTTTAATATTACATATTTAAATTTATACCTTTTAGTAGGTATATTTAAGGTGAAAAAGATCCTACATGTGACAAATCGTATTAAAATTAATCGTTATCACGTTATTTAGGTCGTTAATTATAATTCTATATAATTAATCGTTATTTTTAAATATTTCAAATAAACTAATGGACCTATATATATATATATATATATATTTGCTTGAAAATGAGTCAAATGACTATAATATAAGTTATTTTTTGTATTAAAATAAAAATATTATAATATTCAAATGGTATAATAGGTGAATACTATATATGTAATTTGTGATAAATGTATTAAAGGGTACAAGTGTTACCCTAGGGGGGCATAGTTTGTAATTAAGTGACATGTGTTTTTAAATAAAAAAAGAGAGGCAACCATGAGAGAATGAACATTTGTCCAATGACTTCATTTGCCTTGTATAATCACATGTTCTTAGCCTCGCGTAAATAGTTTGGAGGCTAAGCATTTCCACCCTATAAATAAGGTGCTACCAGTAAGAAAAACGCAGAGCAAGGAAAGAAGAGAGAGAGAGAGATGAAAAAAAACTTATGAGATTTTAGGATCAAAAATTGAGTTGTGATTTTATTATAGATCGCTATCAAATTTGAGTATTTTGTTCATGGTACTTCGAATTTCACATTTATTGGAGTCATTGATGATTTTAAAGTATGGAGTAGTATATAATATACTCTTATTTTTTAAATCTCTTTGCAAAGAATGTCATTTGATTCTCTGAAATTTGTATTCCTATTGATTATTCTGATTGATATGAGAATTTTTATTAGTTGACTTGTATTTTGAGCTAAATATTTTGGGATTGATTAATACATGTACGAAATGTACTTGGAGCATAATTGGTAAAATGTGATTATGGTCTTGAGGAACGTGATTGTGGTTACAGCTTTGCAGAGTATAATTGTGGCGCCTCTAAATTCGGGGGTCCGTTGATTACCTATCAACCCGTAGAATACCTGTAGATACCGAATAACTCAATATTGTGCCATTATGCCACATTTACCGGGGTCCATAATTTTAACGAAATTCGGCAGAGTCTCCTTTATATGGGGAGCTCTACCTAAAATCTAACATGTGCAATATACATTCACATGACCCATCCGAGGTCTAATATACAACATTGACCACACCGAGTCTATTTATCCATATTTTTATAAAAACATTTAATCACATGACTCATCCGAGGTCCAATATACATCAATGCATACTCTCACATCATAAATTAATGTATTAAACATAGCTAATACAAATTCAAAATTATAATTCTTTTACATACATTACATGCCCAAAAACTAACTTTGCAAAAGTTTTACAAAAAAAAATAACTAAAAGTCACAAGTCGGCCTTTCTTCGTCACTGGGGCCCTGAATAAGCATTGTCCAACGACGTATATCCCCCACCTAAAATATTTTTCTGTATAGGGTGAGTTACGCTTAATAGAGTATCTCCTACAAAAGCTACTCCCCAACTTAGATCCATATGAAATGTTATAAAAATCGAGAAAAATTTTAAACTTTTTCCAATAAAGGGTAAAATAGTAATTTATCACTATAATACGGAATTGAAATACGCATTCTCTAGAGCTCGTATGATACAACGGACTTCGCCGTTGAATTCGTATCGCAGAAACTAGTCACCTTGTCGAATTTCGTCGAATTTCAAGATAGTCAAATTTTTGCATGTAGTTCAAGGCAGCTGGGTGGCGAATGATTTTTTAAAGGACTCCAAAAATGAGTTTTATAAAATTTCCTTAAAATTGGATAAAAGTTCAAATAAAATTAATTTAAACTTAAATCGGGACATAGTGAATCATTTCGGGATGAAAAACGGACCCAGAAATAGGAAATATGCGGTGCGACGTGGACCGCACATTTACGACTATAAATATCAACCAAATATCTGAATTTTGAGAGAAATATCTCATTATTCAGCCCCCTTGGCCGGCCAGAGAGAGAGAGAGAGAGAATAGAGAATAAACAAGTTAGTTCTTCAAGCTTCCTACCTCGGATCTTCGAAGTTTCGTTGTTCGGATCAACTCGGACCAAGAGTTAAAGTCGATCACCACGACGAGTGCTACATCTACGTACCAAGAAAAGTGAATTTCACTGAAGATCAAAAAGGGAATTTTGAAGAAATCAAAGGTTCTTGGGCTTTGGTTGGTGTTCTTGGAAGTTCTACTACTTCCTACACGCTATAAAAGGTAGGGTTCTTCCTACTTTAGTTTTATTCCTACCTTTTGGACTATTTTTTGTGGCTATTTAGGGGCTGTTAAGGGGCTGAAATTGTGACTATTTTGAGTTAAAATTGTGGGTTGTTTTATGGCTTATCTATGGGCTGTTTTATAACTTGTTTATGGGTTGTTTTATGGCTTGTTTAAAGGCTATTTTGTGGCTTATTTTGGGGCCGTTATGTGGCTTGTTTAGGGGCTATTATGTGGGCTATTTTGTGGGCATATTATATGTTTACATTATGCCTTGAGGATTAAGGATGTTATTGCTTGATTATGTAATGGCATGCTTGATTGTTGTTATTAGATAAAATCTTTTTATATGAGTATGGATGAATTGATTCGGTGTGGTCAATTTTTAGTCAAGAATAGACCCGGTACGGTCATTGTGTTATATTGGACCTCAGATGAGTCGTGTTAATGTATATTATACAGGTTGAATTTTGGGTAGAGCTCCCCGTACAAAGGAGACTCTACCCAAATTTTATTAAATTAAGGACCCCTAATTTTTGGGGTATCACAACTTGGTATCAGAGCTTAGGTATACGATTTACCTAAGGCTTGATGGGCATGGGTCTAGACCGTTGCATTTATTGTGCATTTCATGTTATGTGTTTAAATGCTACATGTTATGTGCTATGTGTTATGTGAATTATATGCATGGTGAAATGTATATGGAAAGGAGAGACTAGGATTAGAGAACATAACCTTGGGGGTCGAAAAGAGAAGGAACTGGATAGTTCAGGGTGTAAATGTCTATTAGTGGTGGCACACGCTCTACTAGTGAGACAATAAGAGAAATCTCAAATGTTCAACTTTGATTCCTACTTTGGGATACTAAGTTAGTGCTCTATTAT